TGTATTCATGAATTGAAGTGTGGGACAAACTAGGTAGGATCACTAGACCTGGAAGGAGCCTTAGAGGTCATCTAGTCCAACCCTATAATTTTACTGATAAGGAAAGTGAGGCCCAGAGAGTTAAAGTGATCTGCTCCAGGTCACTCTTGTAGAAAGTAGTAGAGCTGGGGTTTGAACTCTGACACTATACCTAGTGTTTATTCAGATATAAACTGCTGCACAAAGAAATGTGGCTCAGTTTAAATTTACTTTTTATTGTCAAAACTGATTAAGTGTTCAAAATGTAACATGTCACATTTCTTTATATTTTGTATTTTGTATTTTTTTTCTTTATGGTCACATTTCCTGTAAGTTTTAATCTGAAACAACCAAATTGCTTGGGGGCCACAGAACCACAGAATTTCAGAGTTGGAAGGGACATGTGTGGTCATCTAGTCATTCGACACATTCCTGAAATAAAGAATTCCCTTTTAAAAAAATCTGGAGACAATTCTGGGAAGATGGCTGAGTAGGTCAAAAAATTCCAACCTCTCCAGATTTCCCCTACAAATGAGATAAAATAGTGCCTCAGGGTGAACGTAGAGCAGTAAAAGAAAGTGTGTGAGCAGAACAGTGGTCCTCCTGGGACAACTGAGAAGATCTGAATAAAAATTTCAGGAAGAAGTTTGGTCCCTGTGAAGAATAAACATCTCCAGGGTAGTTCCACTTAAACAACAAGATTAGCTGGGTTGGGAGACTGTGTCAGCCCTAGCCACAGGAACTTTTGCCACCTGAACTGTGAAGGGAGTTGGACATCTGAGCCAGGGAAGATTGAGGGAACTGCTGACAAGGAACACCAGACCCAGTCATGCTGCAGAAACTTGGCCTTGGGTGAGAAGGAATCAGCACACACCTGTGTGGGACAGTGACCCTAACCCAAATTAAACTCAGAGACTTCTCAAGGTGGAAAGCAAAGGTTACCTTTATTACAATCTCTCGAGATGGCTGTCTGCTCCTTTGATATACGTGGAGAGAGAGAGAGAGAGAGAGAGAGAGAGAGAGAGAGAGAGAGAGAGAGAGAGAGAGAGAGAGACTGCATAATAGGAGCTGCCTTATAAAAGCAAATCTCCACCCACCACCATCCCTTACCCCCTTAACTGGGGGTGGGCTTACATCCTAACTGGGAGGTGGGGCTTACATTCTAAGCTGGAAAGTTTCTTCCTATCCCCTTAACTGGGAGGTGGGGCTTACATTCCAGGCACAAAATTCAAGAAAAGGAAAGAGGCCTGAAGCTAAGGACAAACAGCTCAGGTTGGCGGTGGGGCAGGGCTTATTCTTTCTGTTAAGTGCTTAAAAAGAGGGTCTGACTGGGGGAGGATTTTAAAAGTAATAATCAAGAATTATTTGACCCTTTGAGGAGCCTTCACTTCTGAGAGTTCATTTCTCACACTACCTTCTGAACTCATTACCTTAATTACACTGAGAAGTCTTCACTGGGACATCACATTCATACTTATCATAGATTATTTACAAGAGACTCAATAAGGACAGGCAGTTTACTTTTTATATGAGGAAAGGTAAAATGTATGTTTAAGATTGTTATTAGTAATGGAGTATTCTTAAGAAAGATTGGGGCAGACCTAAGTATGAAATGTCTTTAAAAAAATAAAACCATTTAGGAACAGCAAAAATGAGTCATTATCATATACAAATTAGGTGAGAGAGTAAAAATGGGGGAAGAGGGCTAGTAGTTCTGGAGAACTACTTTCATCAGGCAGGGGTTCAAGAGGGACAATTACATACAGACATCCATATGTAATATATATGCATATATATATGTATGTGTATAGATAGATATAGAAAGGTACAAAATCTTCTAAATTCAGAAAGAAATAAACCACTAAGGGAATAGGGAGGGAGAAGAGGATAAGAGAGGGATCTTTATAGGGGAAGGTGAGGGAAAAGGATAAATAAAAATGTAGAAGAGTGTTTAGATTAATGGGAATATGAGGACAATGGAGGAATCTTTGGAGGGGCATAGGTCAAGTAATAGGAGAGCAAGGTAGCAAGTAGAAGTAAAGTGGAGGTATGAGGAGTGATAAGAAATAGATACACAAACGTAAATTAAGATCAGGAGTAGAATTTTTTTTAGAGAAAAAGGAGTAGGGGTGGTAATATTGATCTCAGACAAAGGGAAAAGACATGTATTGCATTATGTATTGCATATTCATCTATGCTGTTTTGGACTATTTAAAATAACTAGACAGTATAAGGTTGGAATATTGCTGTGGTACAGGAAATGATAAGTTGGTGGATTTGGAAATATAGAAACACTTGAACTTATGAATGAAGAGTTTCTCTACTCTCAGAGAAACAGAGGACAAATATGCATAGTATGGGTTTACATAAATGCATATGAAAGCCTATGTTTATATATGGGTGATTATGGACATCTAAGTATATGTATGTGTATGTAAGTGTATGCATACATGGTAATATGTTTGTGTGTATATATCTTTGTGTGTATGTGTCTATATACGCATGCATGTACATATATAAGTATGTATATGTATGTATGCTTGCATGTATGTGTGTGTATATATATCTCCATGCTTAATTGTAGCCTGAAGTGGGGAGGAAGGAGGGAAAAAAAGAACAAAGTAAAAAGTGCACAGCAGAGAACAAAAAAAAATTTATAAGGAAGCAAAGAAAAGATGGACAGCTCTCAACACATTGTGTAGTATTTATTATATAGACTTTTTTGAAATGAAAATTTATTGCTATATATTTTGAATCTTCTCTTACATTCTGCTGTGCACATGGCAATGCTTTGTTTTCTTTTCTTATTTTGTATTTCTTCAATATTTATGTTTTTGATACATTTCTGGTAAAAATCTCCAAGTTATCTTGCCATGATTTCATTTGATCATGCTCATTCATAGCCTTTGCTTGAAGACCTCTCTGAGAAAGAAAAATGTGCTACCTTCCAAGGCACCCAGATCTATTTTGGGTAGCTTTAATTATTATAAAGTTTTTCATTACACTAAGCCTAAACTTACTTCTACAACTTCCACCCCACTGCCCCTAGTTCTCTTCCCTTTGAAACAAACAAGACAAGTCTAAGACGTTTTTAAGGCTAGAGCTTTTCAAAGACTTGACTGCTACATGTATAGTTAAGTCTTTTTTTTTTTTCCTGGTAAAAAATCTCCAAATTATCTTGCCATGATTTCATGGCTCTTCATAATCCTTATTGACTTATTGCTTCCTTCATTCGTTGATTTGTACATTGATTCTGTGATTCATTTATTTATTCTTTATATTATACATAGTTAGCCTGGAAGGGGTCTACTAATGAAATAACTCAGTTTCATGTAAAAGATTTTGGAAAGAAACCTGGGTAATAGTGTAAATTCCTTGTTTTGCAATCTTTTTTTAAACATAACCATCCAGTGTTAGAACAGATTTGAAGTGATCGTTCTTTACTTATACATTCATTGTGCTATACACAGACTTTTTTCCATAAGCAAGCATGCCTAGACCCAAGTGAGAGGCCTCCTCAATGTGAAGTTGATACTCGCTGAAGGATTTCACATTAATACATTAACAAAAATTATATAGCATAAGATGGTGGTACTGATGTTGCAAACTGAGTTGATGATTTTGGTTGCTGAAGTTCTCGTGCTGGTGAAATTATGGATCTTGCAAAACTGTCTACAAGAAATGACTAGGGCTATTCTTATTATCATAGACTTATATGCATAGAGCTGAGAGGGACCTTCGAGTTTGTTGAGTACAACCTACTCATTTTACAGATGGTGGTAAGTTGCAGAGCTGAGATTCAAAGCCTTTTGAGTTTCTACCACCTGCTAACAAGACTCACACACACACACACACACACACACACACACACACACATGCATATGTATATATGTGTATGTATGTATATACATATGTGTATATATGTGTATGTGTGTATATGTATATATGTGTGTGTGTATAGGTATGCATGTATATATGTATGTATATAACTTAAAAGTAGAAAAAATGTTGGCATGAGGCTGGCAGATGCCAGTATTGGGAATTGTGGAGAGATTACTGGATTTGAAGTAAGAGAACCTCAGTTTAAATGCTCACTGTGACACATACTATGTCTTGTGTCACCCTAGTAAAGTCACTCTCCTTCTCTGGTCATCAATGTCCTACACTCTAAAACAGGCTTACACAGCTTGTGGCATACCAAAGGATCTCCTCTACATACAAAGGATGTTTTCTTCTATATTTTTCATTGGCTGCCTTCAATCCTTAGGCATGCTGCAAGCAGCCCTAGGGCAATAAATGAGCTACAAGTTGTATAGGTCTGTTCTAAAATGAAAGTATTAGATCTATAATCTCCCTTCTACTTCAAAATCTATAATTTTATGAGACTATGAAATTAACAATATGACATAGTCAAAGAATCATTTGATGCAGAAAAACCTCCGCCATGTTTAATTTTTGATGGGCAGAAAGAAAACACTCATTTGATTGTTTTTTGCTTTTTACTTTTTAGTGTGTGGAACAGGAATTAGCTAGATACAAACTATGCATTCTTTTTTTCTGATTTTATTTTGGGTGTTCTTAATACTAGAGATTATATTGGCTCAGAAAAGAAGTGATTGAAAAATTTAGCAAGTAATTTTAGTTAAAGTTTAAGGAGTCTTTTGCCCAGAGAATTTGTTAAATGCTTACTAAGTGTGAAGCACTGTTCTAGGTGCTGGGGATACAAATACAAAAGTAAGAAAATCCCTTCTCAAATAACTCACGTTCTGATGCAATATAAGGAAGGTTTTAGCTACAAGTCTGATGGAATGGGCCCATAGTTCTTAGCATGAAGCAGCAAAGCAAGTGGCAATACTTCTTTATAAATATCATTTCCACTTGTAAAGCAATATCAGTTTTTGACTTTGAACCATTTAGTAGTACCAGGAAGTTTGGTTACAAGAAGTTTCTTTTGTGTTCTTCAATAGTTGTGGCCTTTTTACCGGAAGGAGTAGTTTCAAGGTTGCGTCTCCATACGGATTGTTTCCTGGAGTGATGGTTACAGGTTCTGAGCTGGAGGCATTGCTAATTCTAAGACTTTGAAGTTCAGGCTTCTGGATTATTTCTATAAATGTTGGAGATAGTGATCAATGTGGTGGCAATGGTTTGGCTCAAATGGCACATGTATCACTTGTGGTCCTTCAGGGTTCCTTGAGCGTCAGCTAGGTTAACTTGTCTGTCTTGTTCATGACAGTTGTTCAGAAGTTGATGGGGATGACTAGCATCTTCTCAGAATTTGCTTTCCTTGATGATGGCTAGGCTAGAAACAGAATTATGTGGTCTGGAAGGCACTATTCCCAGGGTTTCTGTGATGACCTGCCAGTTGGTAGCAATTGATCAATACTTGTTCCCAGTAGTGATAAGTAAGGTGGACCACCTCTCCACAATGATCTCACCTCCCAATAATGACTTTGGAGGCTTGGCTGAAAACAAGACCAGTGGTTTGGTGGGCACTGTTGTTTCCAAGGCTCTTGAATATGGGTCTGGGCAGTCTCCATTATGATTTGAGGGGAGATGGTGGTAAAGGTGAGGGTGGTGGTTCAATTTATCTGACAAGTGCTCAGCATGTCCTGCTACTTGTGTAGTAGTAGTAAAAGGAGTAGGAGTAGTAACAGTAGAGACGGTAATGGTAGTGATAGCCATAGTAGTTGCAGCAGCAGCGCACATTATAGTAAGTACACACACACACACACACACACACACACACACACACACATACATACACACAAACACACATACTCCCCCCCACACACACACACACATTATTCCAAGATTGAGCCTACAGTATTTAATCTGTGGATCATGTTTATGGGAACTCATTTTCATATGTTTCTTACTTGTAGCCTGTATCACCTAAATAATTGCCTAAATTCTCCTTTTTTCAATGTTGGTTGTGCCAGTATGCCAAGTAAAAGGAATAATAAATGGACTAGAAATACAGACAGATGACAAGTGTCTACTCATTCAGCTCTGCATTCTAGAAGAGAATAAGATAAAAAAAATTATTGCCTTTTTTGAGAAATAAAAATACTCACCATTTATGTAGTACCTTTTATCAGTGCATCTCTAAATGCTTTGTAAACACGAATCAATACTCTTACCTTCTCTGCAAAGTGAAAAAGGTAATACTATGGCTGTTGAATAGATAAGAAGAATAAATGTTTTTGTATTCCAATGTAAGATAGCCTATTCTAGGAAGGAGAGATGGACATTAGAGCAAATAATCTTGATAATCAAGGGAAGAAGCTTCTTGTATTTAAGCTATCTTTATATGCTCATTTTTAAACCTTAGGAAGCCAGAGAGGTAACTGCCTACCTTTTTTATGGTGAATATCAGACTGAATTCAAGAACATTCATGAAAAATTCCAAGACATCACTGTGGCTCTCCATAATGGTGGGGCACAGAGCGTTGTAGGTATTTGTTTGCTTTATGCCAAACAAAAGAAAACAGGATTCTGAAACAATTTTCAACTATTAGAATATTTGATGGAATTCTTCCTACAAAAAAAGATTATTTCCATATTGCCTTATTGGAAGATGTTAATTAATACTTTGCACACAAGCAAAGATGGAAGGGAACTTTACAAAAGTAGAATATTTGCAAGTGACATAGACCTCTAAGACTGTCAGGAAGGCTAGCAATGTGGTATCACAAAGTATAAGGCCAAAGGTGTGTCCTGGCACAAAAGTGCTGCTCCAACTAGGTTGGCTTGAGTTCTCCATGCAGAGTATTTGGGATGGCTATTGCTAGAGAGAGCTGGCTCCTTTCTGTAGAGTTCTTTCCAGAATGATGACTATGGAAGCAAGACCAGTGATGCAGGAAGTGCAGTCTCAGCACTCTTGCCCTTCTGTGGGAGCAACGTCACTAGTGAAGTTTTAGGAATGAACAAAATTACTGAAAGAAAGTGTATGGAGAGAAAAGAGAATGGGCCCAATAACAGATTATTGAGGACTGTACCATAAAGATCCAGGAAGTAGATGAGAAACCTGTAATAATACAGAGATACTAGTTTTAGATGAGGGCAAAAACAAAGGAGTGTAACATCTCTTAAGCCAACAGAAGAGAAATTAACAAGAAGGGGTTATCAGATTTATTAAGAACTGTAGATGAGAGTTGAAGAAAGGACCATTGGATTTAGTCATTAGGAAGTGACCCCTGAGAGACCAGTTTTGTGGAGCAGTGGAGGTAGAAGGAAATTGCAAAGAGTTTGAGGAGAGAGTGAAAAATTGAGGAGGCAGAGACTCTGAATGCAGATTTTTTAAAGAAGCATATTAATAAATGGAAAGAGGAGACATAATTGAAATTGGATGGGCAGCATCAAGGTAGGCTTTTTCTTTTAGGATTAAGTAATCTTGTGTATATTTGTTAGTCAAAGGCAAAGAGCTAGTGATGATGACGTACAAAAGTGGGATGACTATGTGAACAAGGTCCTGGATGAGATAAGAGGGAATATGAATACGTCTAATGGAACTCGCCTTAGTAAGGATGGCTCTTCTTCTGTGACCAGAGGAAAAGATAATACAGAGAATAATGATGCTGAGAAGTTTCAAGGAAGAAAGTAGAGGAGCTGAAGGAGTTTGTATCACCTTTGTTAACTAGCAGAATAGGTCAACTTCTGTATGTACATGGTTGGTGAATGAATGGAAAATATTTTTAGGAATTTGTTATGTGCCAAACATCATGATAAATAATGAGGATGTAAATAGAAGTGAAAAACAGTCCCTACCCCCTAGGAATTTAAGATTTTAGTGTGAAGACACAGTACATAATAGGTAATGGTAGTCACAGAAAATTGTTTTGGCTTCGGAAGCTGCAAGAATTTTGAGCATACCTATAACAGGGTTAATTGGCATCCTATTTCCAGAAGCAATAGTGATATTAAAGTTTATTATTGTTTCCTCACTAAATTGTAGAAATATAATAGTATAGAATGTACATGTGGGAGCATGGTGGATGGCATAGCGATAGGCAGGATGGACATTCATATGGGATAGAAATCATGGCCTAATCTAGGTAGATATATATGTGTATATATAGATACAGATATATAAAATGTGTGTGTATATATGTATATGTGTGTATGTATGTATGTGTGCATATGCATGTGTGTATATATACATACATACATACATATGTGTGTGAGTGTGTGTGTGTGTATGCACATGTAAGTTTCTGTTGGCTGACCCACCAATCAGAACAGCAGAACCAAAATAAGCTGAATGGAATATTCTACTCGAGGCAATGGTTTATGAAGGGCAGGTAAGCTGGAAATAATGATGCTGTTAAGCACTTACATAGGTTAGGAATTATCTAGGGATAGAAATATAAGCAAAAGGAAAGGCTGTTCTAGTGTTAGAGAATACATAAAATGGAGGTGAAAGAGAGGAGGTAACTGTGCTGGATCATGGTGGTTCCTAAAATTATAGCCAGGAGAATTATGACTTGCCTGTGCCCCTCCTCAAAATGGAAACCCAAGAAGGACCTCACCAATGGTAGAGATGGACCAGCATTTTGAGAGAAGTTCAAGGGTGAGAAGGCCCCAGGAGCTGAGTGAAGATCTAGAGTGAGAAGCAATCAGGGTATGGTGGTAAAGTCCAGAAAGTCAGAAGCACCACCAGTCTGGGAAAGCAACAACAACATAAACAGAAAGGACATATCAATAGTGGATGACTGATCCTGAGAAGATAAATAGAAAAAGCTGGTAGTGTTCACTGAAGGAAGTAATTTGAAAAAAAAACTATAAGGATTGAAGAACTTACAGGGCAGCTAGGTGGTGTCAGGAAGATTCATGTTTTTGAGTTCAAATCCAGCCTCAGGAACTTACCAGTTGTGTGACCCTGGGCAAGTCATTTCACCCTGCCATAGTTTCCTCATCTGTAAAATGAACTGGAGAAGAAAATGGCAAGCTACTCCAGTATCTTTGCCAAGAAAACCCTAAACAGGATCATGAAGAGTTGGACATGATTGAACATAGCAAAAGGAAAGACTCTCAAGCCAGATGAAGTTATGCACCATGAAATTATAGCATGTAGAATCATTTGATTTCATGACTTTCTTGATTCAGCATCCTTGGAACAAGAATAGGGAAACTGAATCTTAAATGTTATGGGTAATTAAAACATTACAACCAACAAGATAAAGGGTATTGAATGTCATCGAATGGAGGTGGGGAAAAATTCTGGGGTAGTAGAAAAGGAAATATTAAAGACCAAAAGATAAATCCAAGGTAGGGCATGCAAGCATGTGACTCTTTGTGGCAAGGCTCCAGAGTGGGAGGTGGGGGAATAACTGAGAGTATAAAGATGTGTCAAAGGACCAAATATCCTTTACTGATAAGTAGCTTTAAAATGAAAGAAAAAAGTGGTAGAGGTAGAAGAAAAGGACATTGTAGTCAATGTCACATTTCAGATTTTGGTATCTAGAAGGGTAACAGGGTATACAGTTTGAACATGTTGAGTTTTGGGCTGAAGTAAGGAGGAGAAATCATTGATATTGAGAAGGCTGAGGAGCTATTTAGTCAGATTATCAGAGGGATTGCCAAGACAAATATTGAAATTCAAGGATATAGACAGGGAAAAGATTGGAGAGGAATAAAATTACTCCAATGTTAAAGTTATAGTTTTACTTAGCAGAATGACCTAGCAATTGGTAAATGAGAGCAGTGATGATTTGAAAAAGCTTTGTACAGATGATTACATGGATTTCAAAGACAGGAAAATTCATTGAGTGATGGAAAGATAGAGAGAGAGAGAGAATAGACATGAGAGTTTAAGAGGATGAAGCATAGGCATGAGAAGAAAAATCTAACCTCTATACTTTTTGGCTTTGAAATGGACCTGTGATGTCATTTGTGTAGTGAGCTCCCAATCCCTACCCAGGATTTAGGCTCAATAACAAAGAAAAAATTTCCAGCCATTAGCACTTCTCAGAAATGGAATGTACTTCCTCTGGCACAGAGTTCCTTGTCATGGCAAGGGCTCATATGCTGGCCGGATTTTCTCTTCTCAGGGATGTTGCAGTGAGGCTTACAGCAGGGAGTAGTCAGAGGGTCTAAAAGAGCCTTAAATTCCCTTCCTTCTAAGTTTCTATGATATATTTATTTTGCAAGTAGTGATAGTGATGGCTGTGGTGGTGGTTGTGCTAAAGTGGTCAGATGTTTGTGCATTATTGTTGTTGTTCAGTCATTCAGTCATTTCCTACTCTTAGTGACCCCCATAGACCATAGTTCTCTTGGCAAAGATACTGGAGTGGTTTGCCATTTCCTTCTCTGGTGGATTAAAGCAAATAAAGGTTAAAGTGACTTGCCCAGTTTCTGAGTAAGTTTCTGAGGGCAGATTTGAACTCAGGTCTTTCTGACTCCAGGCCCAGTGCTCTACACCCTGTACTGTGTAGCTGACTCCTATGTCTGTCTAAACCTACTCCTAAAACTTCCATTAGATTCAACAAGAGAATTATGAGGTACCAGATATGTAAATACAGAAACTACCAAGACAAAAACTGAATAGTCCCTGCTTTCAAAGAACTCATGTTCTTTTACTCAATGAAACAACAAATTGATGGAGGTTTTTTTATCAATAGATATTATATTTGAATCATGAGTACACAGGATCATAGATCATTTTGTACAACGCCATTGTTTGATATTCTAGGAAACTAAGATTCAGA